TTGATAAAATTAGATTTACGCTCGATTTTAATATACGAATCAATCTACAACATAGGAAAAATAAGATCATTTTTGTGGTGCCATTGAATTTACCTGTTCGATCTTTGGGTAAATCTAATTATAATAAAAAGATTCATTTAATATATAAAGTCGGACTTGTTCACGATTTTCTTTCTTTCGTCGATCTAAAATAAACAAATTTATCAGACAAAGATATTTTTGTTTTATTTGATGCCTATCGATTAAGTGATTCGAGCCATAATAATCTAAATTTTTATTAAATTATTAAATTAATGGAGGCAATCATTTCTCTATACCAGTCCTTATCTATTCAGTTATTTTGACCAGTACGAATAACTGTCAGAAATATAGAACCCCATCAATAAAGACTCTTATACTTGTACTATGTTCAAATGATTATCGTGCTTTAGTTGAATCAATTATATAGGATACAGTCACAAATCAAAACGGTATATAAGTAGCAAACATATACAATGTCTATATATTTAACAGTCATTTCAAGTTACAATAGATAATATTTTACGGACTATCTGGGAATACTATTTATAAGTTGTCAATGGGTTATGTCAGAACAACATTTGTAACTTTTAACTGATTATCTTGGAACACAAGGTATATGTATGCAAATTTTATTCCATGGTACTATTCACAGCTTCTTAGGGATTAGCTCTATACACTGATTAGCTACAAATTCTTGAGGACAAATTCGTTGTACTGCTTATAGCAATATTAATGCCTATCTTAACGTAGTATTATTCGTAATTGTTTGCAACTATCTCGAATGCCAACATTAATTTCTTGGGAATCTCTTAAGCGTGATATTTCCACGTCTTTAGAATTTATTTGCCTCTTATGCAAGAGTCACTCTACAATGACCATGATATATTATCGTAGAATCGCATTAATATCAACCAAAAATAGTATTAGTGATAATAGTATTTCTATTGAGTTTACATAAAGTCAGAATAAATGGTGTTCAGTAATCGTGAAATTATCGATTAGGAAGAGAAATCTTTGATTTCAATATTTTCTTTAGCAAGGCAATGGATTTCGATGAAAAATTTTCTTGAGGATTTCAGCGACGATTCTCATTTGATCGGATGAATTTAACCTCTCAAATACATTTTGGGGGAACAAGTCATCAGTGTTTCGTGATTCTTGACACGTAATTCTTTCCATAAAATTTAGAAGAAGCTCATTATTATCAAAAAGTTTCTTTCATTAAGGAAAACTTAAACTTTCAAGATGTTCAGGATACTAATAAATGTAATACAATTGACCTCTTTTAATATTGATCCGGAATTAAATCAGTGTCGATGGTACAAGTATTCTGCCGATATCATTGCATCCTCGCTCTCGATTTTGCATCTACTATTTTGTTAATATGTAAAGCAAATTTCGAATTTTCTTAATCTTTGTACTAGTTTGTTGAAACTTCACTTTTCATTCTGAATTATTGTAAACGAATGTGATATTTCATTCGTTACTGATTCCTTTCTCATTGGCCTCTGGCTTTTGATCAGTAGTGTTTTAACTTTCCAAAAACGAAAGTTTCCTCTGAACTACGAAGTTTCATAAATTTCTGCCACGCACAAGAACTTGCAAGAGCAAATACTGCAAATACTATAAATTCTTATAGAATACACACCCATATAGGAAATACCAAAATTTGCTCGAAGTTACAGAAATTCACCACAATATAAGAAGGAAATTTTAGAAAGATATCCATCTTTACACACTAGTGGTAAGGAAATTTCAAAGTATCATTTCTAAATATCAAAGTGACAGCGGTCTACAAAAAACCTATGACATATCGATGCATTACGGAAATCACCCTAACTATCGCAGTGTCACCAGAAAAACGATGTATATTTTTCGAAAATTAGTCTAATATGCACATTAAATTTACATTCAGTTTCAAACTTTTCCAGTAATCAAAAAGATCTTACTGAAAGGAAATGCACCATTTAACTTCCCTGCCCACTAGAATTTTTTTCTTTTAAATATTTTTTGTTGCAGTCCACTTGAGGATACTGAATCAGCATCATATTAGATTCTTTAAATGATGATTCAAGTTTTAAGTAAAAAAAAAAAGCAGAGCTAAACGATATAACTGAAAAGTCATTAGTTCAAGATTTTGATACTAAGAGCAAGATTTCTGTTCCAAATAATCAGCATATCAAAATGCACCAGAAACCTTATACTTGGTGGAAAATTCTTTTGCATCAAAATTTTTGCCTGCAGAGGATAAAAATTCTAAAAGTACGTACATAAAAGGAGGCTGAGGAAGAGTAGAGTAAAAGTTTTTTTATGAGAAAAAATCTCCGGCGAAGTATAGTTTCTAATGTACTTCGATACACTGATTCCGATAGTGATGGTTGTTTTAAACAGACATCTTGCTTTTATTTATCAAAATCTTGAAATAATGATTGTCTTTTGTTATATCATTATTCCTCAAGTGTTTCTCTTCTAAATTTTGAATTACTATTTTAAGAATCGTGATCTTTTTTCAATCTTTTTATTGCTTTCATAGCTCATGTGAAGCATCACTAATGATAAAACAATTGACTTTTTAATAATAAGTGTCTTTATTAAGTTATCTGATGAGCTGCAAAATCAATGCATAACTCAGTGCTTCTTTTTCATAGACTGTACTCATTAACAAAGCT